AAACTCCATTGTGTATGTATACCACATTTTCTTTTTACTGCTTTTTGGTTTTATGAGACAGTTTTCTCTGTGTAGCCCTGGCTGTCCTGGAACTCACTTTGTAAATTAGGTTGACCTCGAACCCACAGAACTCAGAGGGACCCGCCTGCCTCAGCCCCTCAAGTGCTGCAATTAAAGGCATGTTCCACCACCACATGGCTATAGTACGAGATTTTCTTTATCCATTCTTCAGCTGAGGGACATCTAGGCTGTTTCCAAGTTCTGGCTCTTATCAATAGAGCATCAATGAACATGGCTGAACAAGTGTCTCTGTGGTAGAATGAAGTGTCCTTTGGATGAATGTCCAATAGTGGTATCGCTGGATCTTGAGGTAAATTGATCCCAATCTTCCTGATTTCCACGGTGGTTTGCACTCCCCCCAGTAATGGAGGACTGTTCCCCTTAGACTACATCCTTGCCAGCATGAGCTGCCACTTGTTTTATTGAGCTTAGCTATTCTGACAGGTGTAAGATGAAATCTTAAAGTCATTTTGATTTGCATTTCCTGGTGGCTAAGGATGTTGAACATTTTTTTAAGTATTTTTTCAGCCATTTGAGCTTCCATTAAGAATTCTGTTTTAGATCTATAACCTATTTTTTAATTGGGTTATTTGCTTTCTTGATATCTACTTTTTTGAGTTCTTTATGAATTTTGGATAATTGTGGTATATCAGGTGTGTAATTAGTAAAAAGCTTTTCCCATCTGTTGGCTGCTGCTTTGTCCAAATGACAGTGTCCTTTGTTATGCAGACCTCTCTCTGTTTCATGAGATCCATTTCTTAATTGCTGGTCTTAGTGTTTATCCTAAAGGTGCTCTATTCAGAAAGGTCTTCCCATGCTATTGAGTTCAAGGCTATTACCCACATTCTCTTCACAAAACTCTAAAATCAAGGACATCACCATGACATCAGATACCCCAAAATCTGATAGAAGAGAAAATGAGAATATGACTTTATGATTAGGACATCAATACTGCAGGTACTAAGATCAACAATTAAAAACTGAGACCTCGTGAAACTGGATAGGCTCTATATGGCAAAGGACACTATCATTTGGACAAAGTGGAAAGCTAGAGTAGAAAAAGTTCTTTACCATTCACATCTGATAGAAGGTTATCTAGAATAAATTAAAAAAAAAAACTAAAATAACTAGACATCAAGAAAACAATCCAATATAAAAATAAGGTACAAATCCCAGCACTCAGGGTAGCAGGGGCAGGCAGATCTCTGAGTTCTAGGCCAGTCTCATCTACAAAGTGAGTCCAGGATAACCAAGGCTACACAGAGAAACCCTGTCTTGAGAGAGAGAAAAAAAAAAAAAAAAGACGTACAGAACTGTCTTAGTTAGGGTTTCTATTGGTGTGAAGAGACACAATGATCATCGCAAATCTTATAAAGGAAAACATTGATTTGGGGCTGGCTTACAGGTTCAGAGGTTTAGTTTGGTCCATTATCATCATGGCAGTAAGCATGGCAGTGCACAGGCAGATATAGTGCTGGAAAAGGAGCCAAGAATTTTACATCTAGATCCATGGGCAGCAGGAAGAGACAGTAAGCCACTGGGCCTGGCTTAAGCTTCCTCAAAGCCTACCTCCAGTGATACACTTCCTCTAACAAGGCCAAACCTCTTAACAGTGCCACTCCCCATGAACATAGTAGGGCCATTTTCATTCCAACCACCATAAGAACTAATCAGAGATCTCAAAACATGAATCACAGTCAGAATGGCCAAGATAAAAAACAACAAATGACAGTTCATGATGACAGGATTTGGGAAAAGGGAGACACTTCTTCTTACTGGTGGGAGTGCAAACTTGTACAGCCACTACGGAAATTGGTGTGGAGGCTCCTTACAAAGCTGAAAAATCAATCTTGCACAGACCAACAATATACCTCTCTTGGGCAAAAAGCTAAGACTCTACATCCTACTACTTGTTTATCCATGTTCATTGATGTTGTATTCATAATAACCAGAAATTGAAAACAGCTAGATGTCTATCAATTGACAAACAAATATGGTACATTTATTATTTGGCTATTAAGAACAACAAAATTTGCAAATAAATGGATATGGCTAGAAACAATCTTCCTGAGTGAGGTAACCCAGACCCCCTCCCTCAAAAAATATGTATTGCATATTTTCTTTTATGTGTAGATGTTAGCTTTTAACATTTATATATGTGTTTCAATCCAAATAACCATAAATGTTAGGTACCTACTAAAGCACTGGGAAGGAACAGAAGCAGATCTTCCATTGAAAGGGATATAGGGTAGTGTTAAAAAGAGTTAAAGGAGAAACTAGAAAAAAAAGTACTAAGTGGAGTCGATGGAAGAGCTGGGTAAAGAAAGGAATATGGAGAGGGATGAATCACAATAAAGGCCTTTTGAAAACCCATACAGAAACCTACAACCAAAGACGCTTCCCAAAATATATACATGAATAAAAAAAATTTCAAACGGAGTCATTATATAATAGAAGAGGCAACGCGCTAACTAGACATTCTAGGTCATCAAGCAGAACCTCCCACGTCAGGAACCTTGTTGAGTCACTGGCCAAAGTGCTTCGGTGACCCCACCCCCAACATCATAAGGCTACTATCGCCAGGTCTACTGGCTGCTCTCCACAACCTGATGATAAGCCCTATTGCTGAAGACAGCATGTAAGTCACAGAACATGGAGAAGCTGAGGTGTCACCCAACTAGAAGCTTCACCCCTGCTGACTAACACTCAGAATACTAAAAGGTTCTCTGCACACTATGAGAGGAGAAAAGCAATCATCAATATCACTGAACTAGAGTCACCAACAACCTCTTTATTGGGTCTAAGGCCTGCTCTGTGACATGAACCCATACTTGACACTGCTAATGTGGCCAAACACCCAGAACTAGCTAGGTCATGGGCCTAAAGGAAAACCTAATACTATTATTCTGCTGAAAGAACACATAGCATATATAAAATGTCTCCAAATGACATACTGCTCTGCTTGTAGAAGCTTTTTCTTCTAGTAGATGGTAATTAACAAAGAGCTCGACAACTGGACAGTGCGCCTAGAGTGAGACACTTTGGAACATTTGGCCCTAAATGAAATGTATTCATCAAAACCCTCCCCTCACTCAATTCTCAGGACCTATGCAGAAGAGGAGGGGGAAAGGGAGTAAGAGGCAGAGGTGATAGATGACCCCAAAGAAACAGTGCCTGCCAACAAACCAGACTGACTCACATATGAACTCACAGCACAAACAAGCCCTGCACAGATTCAAGCCAGCCAAATCCCAGCACTGAGAAGGACAAGTAGACACAACTAACCACTTACCAAGGAACTATTTGCAATTTATACCAGCTAGGAAAAGAAAAATCAATCGATCCCCTCCTCCGACAGACTGTCACTGCGTATATCAGCCGTACTCTAAGGCAGACCCATGGCCAGTAGTAGTTGGCTAACACAATGAATTCCACGAGTTTGGTTTTGCTGTGTATGTGGGTTGGGGCTGCTTTTTGTTCTGTTTTGGCATTTGGGGTCTTACTGGGTTTTGTTTATTTATTTTGATTTTCATTGGAGGGGGGTTGTTTTGTTTTTGCCTCTTGAATCAGAGAGAACATAAAATTGGGTGGGTAGGGAGGTGAGGAGGATCTAGAACCAGTTGTGGGGAACACAATCAAAATACATTGTTAACAATTTTAATAAAAAACAAAGCGTTTACCCAGGAACAGGGGAAGTATTACAGTGCTCTCTTGCCAGGGGCATAAACATAATCGCCTAAAGCTTACTTTGGTTTGACATAGTGCCATGTACTTCTGGAGCCAGGGTACTTCTGAAGGGGTGAGACACACATTACAGACAACCAAAGGGTGGATGACCCCTAACAAACCAAGACTGTTCTACAATGCCAACTTTAATTAAGATTTAAACAGCATGGTCCCACAGGCCTTTAATCCCAGCACTCTACCTCCACAGTGGGAAGTAAGGAGATGGGGAAGGCAGAGGCCTTGAACATCTGTGAGTTCAAGGCCAATCTGGTCTGCATAGCAAGTTCCAGACCAGGCCAGGCTACATAGTGAGACCCTATTTAAAAAAAAAAAAAGAAAAGAAAAGAAAAGAAAACCTGTTTACCATAATAAATTTACATAACTGTTTCATAGCAAAACAAACATAGAATGAAACTCACTAATTTTAAAGAATAAAATCTCTAGACTATCAGTAGTTTCCTAACTTGACCGGTTAGTTCTTCATCTATACATGAACTTGTACTGGAGAAACAAACTGGGAAATTCTTTCCCTTTCATTCCTTTCCTCCCTTTCTCTCTTCTTTCCTGTCCTCTCCTCCCCTTTCTCTTCCAGCTCTATGATCTACCACAGTGGAAAACTGGCTGTTGCCCCTGAGTTGAGCCCACCATTGCTTACTGGCTTATGGCAATGACAACACCGCTGGTAGAACAGATTGTACCAATCTGTGTACAAGGACATAGTTCTCCGGTAAGATCTTGGAGAAATGAAATCCACTTTTATTTACAATGTTTCAAGCCTAAGAAAATCCTTGAGAACTGAATGCTCAAAGCTAAATGTCCTGAATTTTTAATAAATGGTTTAACACTAATACATGGACAAATTGCTTCATAAATATAATCACCTGCCAGAACTTTGAATTGTCTAAGAACAGAGTCCAGAATCGCTAAAGCAAAGCTAGAAACTGTAGAGGGGACTGCTGTAACCAGAGAGCCTGTGTCGTTTTTTCCATTCCTCTCATTTAGAACCTACCAATATATAGTCAATTTCCGAACTATTTTCTTACTTTTCATTGTGAGAACCTTAGAAAACTATAAAATGAGTTAATACGGTGCTTTCCAATTTAATGAAATCCCTTTAGTCTTATCCACTCAAGAAGAAAAATACAAAAAAGTAAACAGGGAAGGAAGGGACACTGGAGTAAAAATCCTGGTTCTCAGAAGACTGAGATACTTACAAGGCATTGTATGGTATATGCTTGGCCAATACTGTCCGCTGTCCCTCTTTAGCCAAACACGAACTGTCCTACAACAGAAGAAAACATACACATGAAATCTCACTCAGCATTTGGGGTCATGCAAAAATAGTGGTATGCACAAATCAAACCTTTTAACATAATGTATATACAGAGTCATGACAAGTATAAAAGACAGAGATGTATACTACATGGGCCAATCTAAAAATCCTATATTCCTCATATTTTAAAAAATATTTTTATGAGTTCTTTGAGGATTCCATAAAACTTATTTACATTCTTTAAGTTTAAGGGTGCTATGCACTCGGAATTATATAACCCTTGAAATGCAACCCTCACATATGAATGCACACATCACAAGAGTTTTAAATGTTGTTTTTCACTTTGTTGCTTTGTCTTTCCAAATGCCTGACCTTGGCACTAGTGACCTGGAAGCATCCACTATTCTAGGGAACCATGGTCTTTACTGTGAACCACATCGCAGGGAAGTACGGAGACCACATAAAATAATATGCAGCATGCAACAGGAAAAGGATTAAATGCTAAGTTCACATCTTGTGAGCCAGGCCTTTATCTTAAGAAACAGGTTTTCCAGATACAAATGCATGTATACATATTCACACCCAACACACACGTGCACCCAGACACACATATTCACACACACACGTACACTCACTCACACCTCTTATTTAAATTTTTCACTGATTCCTCATGAGCTTCATTCACATCATGCACCTCAGTCCTGCCCATCTTCCCATCCTCTCAAATCTGCCCTTCACGCCTGCAACCTCCCCCCCAAATAACACACACACACACACACACACACACACACACACACACACGAAACCAAAGCTTAGAAAACATCTCAGTGTCCCACAATATATTCCCCTGTCTACACATCTTCACTTGCAAATGTTTACTACAAAGAGTCATCAGTCTGGCTCAAGGCCTCCAGCTCCTGCAACGCCACCAATGAGACTCCTTCCTGCCCTGTGCCATGGTGATCCTGCAGTATTGGATTGGCAGGATCATCCCTCAACTCGTCCCCATCATTCATAGATAACAGATTTTCGGGTGGGCCAACCAAGAGCCTGGATCTGGACCTGGGTGGCAGCCTAGCTGGTCAGTGTGCTGGCTCTCCCTTATTTGTACCACTAGGGCGAGCACTCTAGCAATACTCCAGCTAGGCCACCCAGTGCCACCACTGGCAAAGGGCAGGGTCAGTTCTCCTGCTCTCATACCCTCAGGGCCAGCTCGCCCACCCCACACTTCCAGAGCCAGCACCACTGTGCTGCCCAGTCAAAGCACAAGGCCTACTCTCCCAAGTGCTGCAGCCTGTGAGGGGCTGGGCCAGCTCTCCTGCTCTCACACCCGTGGGCTGACTCACCTTTGCCATCAGGATAGATTCACTCTGCTGCTCAGGCAAGGGGTAGGTCCCACTCTCCCAAGTACTGCAGCCAGTGAGGGACCAGGCCTAATCGCACCCCTATGATGCCAGCTCTCTCGACTGCTGCAGGTATTGGGGGGGCATCACCCCCACCCCCACACCACCTTACAGCAGACAAATGGCGGGACCACTCTCCTTCACACTCACCCTTAGGGTTGGCTCACCCTCTTGACCAGGGCCAGTCCAACTGTAGTGCCCAGGCAAGGTACAAGTCCCACTCTCTCAAGTGCTGAAACTAGTGAGGGGCAGGGCCAGCACACATTTTGAATTGAACAATCAATACAGGAGTGATATCCTAGAAGATGTTGGGGTAACCACTCTGAAATCAGTCTTTCCACCAAAACAACTAATGAGTTGACAAGAACTGTTAAAATCATTGATTTCAAACTCTGGTCTACTAAATAATGTTTGCACCACCTGAAGAACTGGAAAGAAGTGGGAGGGACTTCCTTGAATCCCAGCATTTGGTAATTTCTAATATCCAGGGTCCTGCCTGGCAGGTAGCCATGGAGAATGGCTTGTTCCCTAGAGTACCTGATGGAGCTGGGGTGGAAACACATCCTCTACAATTTGAAGGTATGTTCTGATTTACTTGACTCTTCAGTGAATGACCAGAACAGAGGCTGCTCATTGACTCAACACTGTCAGGGCTGAAAAACTTCCCAAGCAGATTCTTTCAAAAATAATAGATGGCATAGACACATTCCTTTTCCTTACTGGACCCAAACTGTTGGCTGACCTCAGAGACAGCAGAAATACAATCCTCACTAAAAAATAATAATAAATAAATAAATAAATAAATAAATAAATAGATCGCAAAGTAAGTAAAACAGCTACATTCCAGAGAATCTGACTTCCAGAGTTTCTGCATTGTTACCTGTTCTCAATAGAAAACTGTGAGGTAGACAATGAAATAGAAAGTATGGATCTTCTGAGACCAGGGGATAGCGAACTGATAGAAATTATCCAGGAAGAAGTCTAAGCATTAGTCTTACTGGCAGACGGCCTTAAATATGCCAAAAAGAACTCACAGACAGCAAATAACACCAGGACAAAGAATATATGAACGGACAGAGAATAGTACTTCTGATGAATATTCTATAAGGAAATTGGGTTGAAATATTGCAGGATACAGTAACTAAAACAAAACTACTAGAGAAACAAAGCAACTACAGAGATCCTGCCAGAGGTCTGAGCAGACAAGAGAAAAGACAAGCCTGAAGCTAGGATAAATGAATCCAAATTAAGAAGCTCAAACTGAAAAGAATAACTGACAAAAACAAAACAAACAACAATAAAACCACAGTCTAGGAGATCTGAATGCCATTGCTTAAGTTAGCAACTTACCAATATGGGAGACCTACAGGAAAGGAAAGGTACAGACAAGTATTTCAGGGAAAACAGACAAAATTTGGCAAATTTTGTGAAAGATATACACATCCAAAAAAATTGAAAAAACTCCAAGAAAGACAGACTAAGCCAGATTTAACAGATTTAAATCAAATCATCAAACGCCAAGGAGAAAAATCTTAAAGGCACAGAGAGAAAAACAACTCATCACATACAAAGGTTATCAATAGCCAGTATCTCACAGAAGCAGGGGTCCGAAAGAGGGGAGGTGCTGAATGAAACAACTATCGACCAAGAACGACCTCCCTGACCTCCCTTCAACCAGATCAGTGCACCCCTGAACCCTATCTGAAGCGCCTATTTGCATCTTACAGTGGCCCAAGGCTGACCAAAGTGCAGAGAGTAGGATGCTCAGCCCTAACAGGGATTTACATACCTTACACACACAAACACCCCAGGGCTCGGGGGTCACTGCAGAAAGGGGAATGTAAGAGCCAGAAGTGGGGGGGGGGGCGACTGCAACATCTGGGCACCGCAGAACTATGAACTCACAGCGACTGTGACAGCATGTGCCAAACCAAATCCCAGCCCACCAGGGAATTTGGACACACAAGCCCCTAGCAGTGAAGTAAATGGCAATTGTGAAGTAGGGGAAAAGGAAGAGACAATTTTCCAAAAGAGCACATCTCCTGCTAAGCTGACCATGCTCTGATGCAAGACCACATATCCAAGAATATTTGGGGAGCACAAGCTGGTCTCAGAGGGTTTGTTTTATTTAAAAAGGGGTGGGGGCACAAAGTTCAGTGGGTAGACAAAGTGGAGTGAATCTGGGAAGAGGTGGGGGAGGGGCGAATATGATCAAGCCACAATGCACAAAACCCAAAACTCTCAAAGAACAAATAAAGTTAAACCTGCCTATATTTTCCCAGCCTCTCCCATATATAAAGGGAAAATTAAGATTGTTCCAGATAAACAAAAGCTAATAAAATGTGTCAGTGTATAACTTTCAATTACAGATAAGGCATCTAGACAGAGGATCAACAAGGAAGTTATAGGCCCAAGTTACCTGGTCAAACAGTGAGATCTATACACACAAGATATCCCAGTGGCAGAACACAAACCTGCATGTACAATACACAACCATTCTCTAGCCACCATGGATGAAGCTAAAATCACCAACAGAAGGAACAGTGGGGAGAAAACACAACAAGATGGGGGAAAAATCATTAGTAAGCACTGTAAAATAAACTGAAATGAAAGCAAATACAGCAAAATCTAGGAGGTAAAGTAAAAGTTTACATGGAAAATTATAGCATTCAATGTCTATGTTAGACAAGATCACAGGTAACAACCTAATTATATGTTTAGGGCACCAGAAAAAGAGCAAACTAAACCCAACAATAACAGAAGGATGGAATAATACACTAGATCAGAAAAACAAAAACAAAACAAAACAAAGAAACAAAACAACCAATCCCCACCAAACACTGTTAATAGAGATGAAGGAAACAAAGTCAATTTTAATAAAGGTGAACAAAAGTAGTAAAATCTTAAACTAAAAAATTCATAAAACTAAGAAAAACTGAAAGGTAATTGAATTAAATTGGAAATAAAAGTGGGATCACTAGAGAAATTTTTAAATATTCTAAGATAGTTCTTATGTACTTGAAAAATGAGATAATCTGGAATAAATGGCCACATTTCTGAGACATACTAGTGACAGGACAGATTCAGGAGAAATGGAATCATTAACCAGCAGAGAGTGAATCTATAACAAAGTCTGGGTCAAGGAAAACACGGAACCAAAGTGGCTTCACTGATGAGGTCAGCCAAATATCTGAGAGAAATCGGTCATGAACTCTACTCAAATTTCCAGAAAGAGGAGTGAATACTTGAGTGGCTGGCTTTAGGCTACCAAAGTCAGACAAATCTATCATTTAAACACTCTCACGTTCCTATTTCTTATGAATATAAATACCAAGTTTCTCAACAAAACACTGGCAAATCAATCTCAACGGCACAACAAGGACTATGCCATGATTAAGCGGGACTTATTCCAAGATGCCAGGGTCATTTAGAATTTAAAAAAAAAAAAAATCCGCCCATCTTAACATAGCTTATCAGTAAAATAAAGAAGAATATCTACAATCATCTAACTTAGTGCCTCTCAACCTTCCCAACGCTGTGACCATTTAATACAGTTTCTCATGTTGTGGTGACCCCAACCATAAAATTATTTTCATTATTACTTCA